TGCAGCATAGACTGATAAGAACTTTTCGTTACTGGATTGTGAATTCAAATTGCACAAAATTAAAAATAATTAATATTTATTAATATTTTAATAATGTTTCAGGAATATTAAAATATAATACCTAGGTTTATTATATAAGTGGACATATAACCTCTATAGAATACTCCTGTAATATTAAAAAAATATTTATATTTTCGAAATATTATAATAGCATTATTTTAATTTTTTTAATAATATTCATGTAACATTCTAGGAACATTTTGCGCTTATAGGGATAATATTCATTGATTATTTAGTGAAGTTGCCTCATTTTTGTGATTTTAAGATAAACAATCCGAGTGGCGAAAAACGATCAACAGAAAAAAAGCTAGTGAAAGATCGATTGATCGCGATCCAAATCGATCGAAGAATCAAATTTGAAACTTTCAACGTTTTCAACATTAGGCAATGCTTTCAGTGTTAAATAATGTATCACTTTCCATGTTAGATAATGCATAATTTCAAGATGTTGATTAATGTAGAATATTCAGAGAAATTAGTTTATGTATTAGATTAGATCAAAAGTTCGTAGCGCTACTTTATTTATATCATCTAATGAATCTATTTCTATCGTCTACATATTTTTAAAATAAAATTTGGCAATTACACAATTCAATAGAGCAAAGTTTTAGTTTTAAGAATCTTTTTATTTAATATTTTTAAACGGATAACAAAAAATCACTAACAAAAAATCTTAGAAACATTAAAAAAAACCATTTCGTCAACTTTAAGCTTTCACATTTTAGAAAATGAAAAATTTTAGTAAGTTTTTTTGAGCACGTGACATAAAGCGAAAAGAAAATTTCCCATTTTTGTCCAGCTCGTAGTTTTCTCTATGTAAAAATTATCAACCTCACAAAAACTCGAAAGAGACATAGTGATCTTAGAAAGTAGAGAATCTAACCTTTAAAATTCGTTTCTTAAACTTAAATTTGGCTTATTTTTAACGAAGTTACAGCTGTTGGAATTTTAAAAGTTCGTACGTTACAAACTTTTGTTCTAATCTAATAGATTTACTGTCGCGCTTATTTTACCTGAAAACTTTCTTTCCATTAAATGAGATTGGAGTTGCGATGAGTTGTGCGAAATATTCAAAAATCACATCAGCATCGCCACATACGCATGCGTGCGAGGGCATATCGCTTCCTAGTTATCTAAATATTGTTCAAACACTCTATAGAGATAAATGTAGCGACATATTTTTACATACATGCACTGTCAAATCCGTAGTATCAAATTTAACCTAATGTAAGTTAAATTGGCACGATACAGTATCAAATTTAATTATTGCTTTAGTATAAAATAACTATATACGAGGGTCGTCTGAAAAGTTTTGAGCCTAACATAGAAACAAGTAATTTTGCGGTCAAATTCAATTTTATTTTTCCACATAGTCTCCTTTTAAGTCGATACATTTTTCCAGCGATGCTCTCACTCCTTTAATCCATTCAAATAATACTGAGCGGTAGAAACAGTGGCGATTTACATTGGATTAAATTTGACACTATAGATTTAACAGTGTATCTGTAAATATATATATCAAAATGCACAGTGTAAATAAATATGTATATCAAAATGCACAGTGTGAATAAATGAAAACACTTTTCTATTCTCGAATATAACACATATTATATGTAGATCGTTTAAGGTGAGCTTAAGCATAAAATATTATAAATAGAATTCTCTCCTTATTCCGAGTTATAAACCGCCTAAAGTGGGTTTTATACACTGAAAGAAAAGTGGTTGATATTTGTATAATTGCATGATAAAATAATTATGCAGTTCAAGGACTTTTCCAAATTTTATACAGTACACTTTTTATTAGAGCTATCAGGAACGTGTCTAGCGAGCGTGCAATGCTTTCACAGCACGTAATTAAAGCCAAAGGTGGTCGAAGTTTAAATTTATTGAATTATACTTGAACATACTACAAATGCGACGAAATCGTAGCTTCTTGAATATTGGTAGCATTTTCATTAAAATTATCTTCTTTTATGATTCATTTTTATTAATACAGATTATCTTTAATCTTTTATATCCATTTCTATCAATGTAGATTAATTTTAATCTCGGTCTAAACTCTCTTACTCTTTACCTTTTTCTAATTCTCAGAATTAGAAGAAGATAAAAGAACAAGTTAAATCAAGATTAAAGCTAATATCTACATTGATAAAAATGGACATAAGACAATTAAGTTGATATTGCGTTTATAGTTTTTATCGCATCTCCTGATTAATAGAAATAAACAATAGAGAAAGATAATTCTGGTAGAGATAAAAATATTATAGATTATCTTATTCTTTTTTTCCTGATCCTAAGAATTAAAACTTGCGCTGGAAATAGCTATAAATTATAGTTAAATTATAGTAATTATTTTTGTTCTATAGATATTCATAATTGTTTCTTGAGAAAAGTTTCGTTTTTACAAATATATGCGTGCGTTATCAGTCATAAATATTTAACACAAAAAATAGAATATTTCGAAGATAAATAACGCGAGGTACATGACATTGATTAATCAGTGAAAATTGATTTCGATCTTTTAACCAGCAATTATTGACGCTTAGGATATAATGTGATCAGAGATGTCCAATTTTGGATGGATAAAAACTATGTGTAAAGAATATGTGTGATAAGAAATATATGTGACAATGCGAGGCTTTTTTTAAAATGCGAATAAGAATTAGTATGGGCATAAGGTCGAGATCACGAGGTTTGGGAGTTTAACGGGATGAATAATTTATATGACTATACACGGAAACAAGACCCGACGTATCTATCCGCGCACAATGAACTCAGAAATTGGAGCAACTTATCGTTCGTGAGCGCGCTCGACGCATTCATTGACTATAACGAGCCGGGGCAATGCAGCTAAATAGTGCCTCGGGCTGCGGCATCTTTCATATACGTCAACATTTATTTGCCATGAATGGTGAACTTAATCCTTTACGCGAAATTAAATAATTTGCTTGTCTATGAACACGCATACAATTTAGCCGCGGGATGCTGTAATCTGACGCCAATTTAAATTAATTTTATTATCATTTCTGAAATTAATTCATTTAGATGAATTTACAATAGTTCAACATCTTAACGTTCTGACCGTTATAGCGCTTCTTAATTTAAAGCATTATGTTTAACATTAGCGGTCTTCCAATCTTATTATTTTTAATTTTATTACTTTTGCAATCTTGGTAAAAAATTTACCATACATGAATATGATAAATATGTATAAACATACAATATGTATAAATATTCATAAATATACATAATTTTATATAAAATTTATCCATATATGTCCATACATCTTTCTTTCTTGTAAAATTACTTTTTAGTGTAACAGAACTAATAATAGTAATGTGAAAACATTAAAAATAATTAAAAGGAAAATTAATTTTCACACTATTTATTTTAGAAAAAAATCAAGTTTGAAGAAATGTAAAAAAAATTACTTATGTATAATTATGCATAATTGTGTATAAAAAAGCAATTTTTTTTATATTTTCTAAAACTTGTTTTCTTTCTAAAATGAATAATGCGAAAATTATCCTTTTAATTATTTGTTATGTTTTCACATTATTATTATTTCTATTTTAGATTTATTTAGATTTACATTACTAAAAAGTAGGTTTACAAAAGAAAGGGGGATGTATGAACATATTTCACATATGATTATACATGTTTATAAATATTTATGTTTATAGATACTTATAGATACATATTCATGCATAAAAAATTTGTTATCGAAATTCCGTGCACACTCGTTCGAATATGTTTCCAGCTCTTTTAGAATTCTCTTGAATTGAGATATCTATTAGTTAAGACATTTTGTGCATAATTTTGTATTATTTAGAAACAGCGGTGCACGTTTTTTTCTGTAAATATCTTGCAATGTCTTTATATATAATGTCTTCGTGCTTTTCAAAAAATTGTTTAAGAAGGCACTGCATATTTGCTCTTTCAGAATATCACTTAACACTAATTGTTTGACAATAACGAATTATCTTACTTCATTTACATGATGCTATTTATTCGAAACACATGTATACGAAATATAATATTGCAATTGGGAGGAAACAAGATCAGTTACATATTTACCGTGTTTATCAAAGCAAAAGAAGAAATTATATAGATAGTCACGAACATCACTGTCAAACACGCGACATTTTATGTACGTTACGTGTTATATACGTTTTTTATTTTATGTAAACCTTATATATAGTTTTTGATCAGAAAATATATAATTAGGTCATTATTGTGAAAACATCAACGCAGATTCGCGACATTTTAATAATACATATTTACTTAGCTTGATGCAAAATAACTTTTTATTATGAAGAAGATAATTTTATGTAGATGAATACATGCTATTAGATATTATAGATATCTACGTCATTTGCACATATATATATTGTCTCAATTTTATATAGAATATTACACGAGTTCGATACATAGACAGGATTTCCGCGATACACGTTCGAACTGACGTACGACCCTCCATAGGCAACATCAGTCACGAGAGATGTGTCATTTATTAATCTGACCTTAAAACTCTAGGCATTTGTCCTGCACATGCAATGTGCAGGTAAAGTAATTGAATGTAAAAGAATTTATTAAAAGAAAGAATGATAAATTATATTAAAGTAACTAACTATTAATTGTATTATTATATAATGCAGCTATATCAACGATGTAATAATTGAGTAATACCAACGAATATATTCGTCTTTAAATGATATCATATTTATATAAATGCATTGGAAAATTGAATTAGAAAACTATTATTATAATGAAAATACAAAATAAAAAACGATTGTTTACGACCTATTATGTAATTATAGAATCAATTTTTCTTATTACTAGAGCTCCTTTAGAAAATTAAGAAATTACAGATAACTCTGTCGTTAAACGAATATAATCACTAATTATCAAATAATAATCTTTTAAAAAGAATTATTTTTTTTCTCCTTCAATACTGATTATACTAATGTTAATTTCGCGATGTAATAAAATTAGAAATTCCAAAAATCGATTTCATATTACGTAAGTACATTTGGGCATACATAGAAAATTCTAAAAATACCCAGAACTAGATGTACTCTAAAACGATAACATTAAATAATAACAATAGTTTTTAAGTTTCAGCGTCAATAATGTGAATGTTTTGTCTCAATATAAGTAATTACGATAAAATGTATTAATTTTAATTAATTAATTAATTAATTTTCCACTTAACCGTAAGTAAGTATGCCCGATGAATACAAAAATTTGTAATCGAGCTCCAAGTTGTATTTATTCAAAATTTTCACATAAAAAAAATGTAATCATATATTCATTCAAAATTTTGGGTTTTCAAAAAATATTTATTCTCAACAAAAAACTATGAATATTTAATATTTATTCACGAGTATTCATATTCATTCAAACAAAATATAAACTAAAAAAGAGAGCTGCAATAAGCAATCGTTATTCCTTAACTGTAACCGGTACTTTGATGACTTTAAGTAAAAAAAATGAATTTTATTTATTTTTGTCATTGAAGTATTCAGATTTTATGAAGGAAACTTAAAAATTTTGAAGAATATTTTAGAAAGCAATACATTTTTTATTTACAAATATTTATTTAATAGAACGCCATACATGTTCCGATATAATTCCGATTACATCACAGTAATGTTATAAACACTTTATAAGATATCTTGGGCGCGTTCGTTATGGTCTGAGGACATTAAATTCCGAGGTATATTATTTATTCCCAATAAAAATGTCTTTGTTTAATCTATAAGTTAAACAAGAACGCCTATCATATAGGTCGCGGACTAAGAGCACGGTATAATTGTATATTGTTTTTATAGATTCCTATTTTCTCTTGTAGGCGTACAGGCTATGTGCAGATAATACAGGGTAAAAGTGAATACGAAACAAAAATATTCGTAATCATATTCAAAAAATATTCATTCAAATGGAATGAAAAAGTATTTATTCGTTTTTTGAATAAAAAAAATGTGTATTCGAATGAGTATTTTCAATCATTTTTTATTCATTTATTAGAACATTAGGTGTAGTCACCGGACACATTATAACTATGTAGATTTATTTTTAATGGTGTTTACAGATAATTCAAGATAAACAGATAACATTATGATTTAGTACACTGTATTTTATGTACATATGCATACACATCCCAGATATCACAAAGAGTTTAAAAAGAATTCAAAAAGAATTCAGTCATCAATTCTGAGTTCCTTTTTAAAAACAAAGAGAATTCTTTTTCTGCAAAATTCTGAAAAAAAGTTCTAAGAAATGAATTCAGAATTGATGACATATGTGATTGAATTCTTTTGAACTTTCTGTTACCTGCGAGACATTACATGTATGTACAATGTCATGAAATTTTTTTACATTTTTCAAAATTATAACAAAAAAATTAGTAAAAAGACAAGAAAAAAAAACAGAAAAATTATTTTAATAAGTTTTTTACAATTGCGAATACTAAAATGTTAAGTCATCATAATTTGCAAGTAAACGTTTTCTTATCACGCACTTCTACGCAACGTATTTACTAGACATCAGCACTTAAAAAAATTATCATTCTGTGTCTTCGTTTGCTTTACAAGGTTTGCTTAACACACTTTCGAAACTTCCATTCCTTCATGCTACATTTTATAATATTTGAAGGGATTTGAAGAGATTTAAATTTCGGTTGTATTGTAAAACGTAGCACAAAGAAAAAATACAAATGGTGTATTATATATTATAAACATGTATTATATATATATATATATATATAATATTGTATATGTATATCATACAAATTTAATTATATAATCTATTGGAATTAATCGTATCCTTTACATGTATTAACGAAATTAGCTGTGCATAAATAAGAATTAATTGTAATATAATTATATTACAATGGCAAATGGACATTCCATAATTCATGATTAGTACATATTATCTAAATCATTGCGCGATTTATTGCTTTTCCATCAATGATTCAGTAAATTATATGGCAAAATACAGCATCTATAAATTATTTATTAATTAATATCCATTGAAGGAGGACAAAGGAATATTATCCGATGTTATGAAATATGTAACTAAGGACGGTATTCATAGTCCATTCTTATTTCAAGACTATCTTAAGTAATATCTTTAAGACGCTATAATACAGCCTTCTGATTAGTTCATGACTTCTTAAGACTGTACTTACGATGGTCTTGAATATAAAATCTGACAATGAATACCGACCTAAGATATACGTATACATACTATTTATAAAACAGAAAAAAATGAAAAGTTCAATTCTACCCGGTAAAAAATTTTTCATGCATAAATATGTATAAATATGTATAAACATACACAAACCATGTATAAATACTCATAAACATATATAATTATGTATGAGATGTGTCCATACATGTTTATACATCCTTCTTTAGTTTGTAAAATTACTTTTTAGTGTATGTACTAAAAATAATAATAATAATGAGAAAACATCAAAAATAATTAAAAGGAAAATTTTCGCATTGTTTGTTTTAGAAAAAATCAAGTTTGAAAAAATATAAAAGAATTGTTCATATATAGTTGCATGTAAAATTATACATAGTTATGTAAGAGCAATTTTTTTTACATTTTTCCAAACTTGATTTTTTCTAAACAAACAATGCGAAAATAGTCCCATTAACTATTTTTAATGTTTTTTCAATATTATTATTATTTTTAGTACACTAAAAAGTAATATTACAAAAGAAAGAAAGATGTATGGACATATTTGTATAGTTATATGTATAATTATGTATAAAATCATATATGTATAATTATATATGATTATGAATATTTATGCGTGTTTATGTATGTTTTTTCATACATATTAATGTATAAAAAATTTTTTACCGGATATACACATAAAATACACATATATCACATATTATATGTATTATATTCTATTATACACATAGTACCCGGGAAAAAATGTTACATATATGGACATACATGTATTTTATATATAATTATATATGAAACATTTTTTCTCGGATAAATATATATATATATAAAATGTATTATATATTTTTTGTACACATTGTAGGAAAACCAACAACAAAAATAACTATTATGCTTTCAGACACCCTTGCTGGTTTGTGCCAATGGACCATTCCGTTCATTCTTGGAAGCCAACATTCCACTTGTGCAAAATAAATTCTGGCCGACGTTATGGTGTTTCGAATCGCGAGCGCAGACCATTATGGCCAGCATTTTAAGATCTCGGATATTACCGTACGTCGAATATCGCAGGTTGGAAAAATATACACGGAGAATAAACCTACACAATTATTCGTCGAGCACTAAGACTTAAATTTGAAAAACAATGCGCGTTCAAACGATCAGATTCCATTTTATAGCACTCTCTTTACGTTACGCAGAGAAATTCTTGCTTTGTCCGACGGTGGTGAAGTGGCCTTGGATTGGGCCGAGAAAGATTGCTCGATCACCTCGCCAATCGTCGTTATTTTACCTGGTCTTACAGGAGGTAGTCAAGCGGAATATATCAAGTGTCTGGTGTCAGCCGCGAGAAAAAATGGAATACGATGTGTGATTTTCAATAACAGAGGCTTAGGTGGATTGCAACTCAAGGTAGGACATATTTGTGAACACAGGCGACGATAATTCTTGCAGTTATCTCGTTATTTATTTATTTTTTATTACAGCAGGGATTTAACCGAAAAGAATTTTCTATAATCTATAACCGAAATTTTCCTCTTCTTTTGTTACTTTTAGACTCCACGAACGTATTGTGCCGCTAACTATGATGATTTAAGTGAAGTCATAGAACACGTGAAGAAACTTCATCCACATGTACCTCTCGGAGCAACCGGGATTTCCATGGGAGGGTAAAGATTATATTTGTGTCCAGTTTATTCTTCAATTAATAAGTAAATCGTATATCTGTACAATACCTAGCAAGATAAAATACACATATATTTGATCATTTTGTTGTATATACATAAATAACATTTTTATTGTATATACATAAAAACCATTGCATGTCTTTTTTTGCTATGTGCAGGTTGATCTTAGGTAATTATTTAGCCCAAAAAGGTTTAACAGCAAGATCCAAATTGAGAGCATGCCTTATTATTTCGGTGCCATGGAATGTGTTTGCAGCGACGAAAAGTACCGAGGAAAATTATTTTAATCTAATGTTGAATAAACATCTAGCCAGCAATCTGTGTCGCACGATACAGCGACACAGAGATACTGATGTTGGTTCTTTCAACGTAGATATGGATACTGTTCTTAAGGTACGATTTTATCAAATATGATAAAATACTGATCTATAATACTATATAGAAAAATTAGATAATATATTGAATGTTTTTTAACTTTTCTAGTTCTAAAAATTAGAAAAAAATAAAGAGTAAATTAAACAAAAATTAAAGTTAATCTATTTTGATAGAAACGACAGTAAGACATTTAAGTTTACGTCAAAATTTAACAGAATAAATATAATTTATTTTAAAAACAGCAACTTTGCTATACAATGTTACTCAATGTTTCAAAATATTTCTTACTTACTGAGAGTTTATATCTTATTTTTAGTTTTTTTTCTGTTGCTTTCCGCATTGCTAGTTATGATTTCACAAAAAGATAGATATATCGTAGTTTGTTTCTAGAAAACGAATTTTTTATGAGTTCAATCAAGAGTAAATTAGACATAAATTTTGTTGTTTATATTTGATATCACATCTGTCTGGAATTCCGAATCTGACTCATACATAATAATTACTATGAATTATTACATCCGGTAGAGCCAAACAATAAGAGAATTTGATTCGAATTTTACGGCAAGGCACTTTGGATATAAAAACGTCGAAGAGTATTACAGTAATGCAACGCTTCACGACAAGCTGCATCTAATCGAAGTTCCGACTTTATGCCTTAGCGCGGCGGACGATCCGTTTCAGCCGTTGCAAGGTGAGAGACAAGAGCGCGACAATTATAACGTTTTCATACGATTTTACTCAAAGATCTGAATATTTTAGCGATACCTTTGAAAGAGATTAGTCAAACCAAAAACGTGGCCGTAGTGGTAACGTCGCGTGGTGGACATATTGGTTTTCTGGAAGGTGTTTGGCCAGTCAAGGAGGAGCAATTTATGGGAAAGTTTTTCTCGCAATTTTTCACTGCGATGTTCACCAGCGATTTCGACTAACGCTTAACATTAACTATAAATTGAATTGAATAAACGGTATCATAAACCTTATCATGCCTCGATTTATTATCATCTGACGTCAGAGGAAATACGTACCGCGATATCGTTTACTGTTCAATTTTTACAAGCTAAAATGTGATCAAATTTATTTTAGCATAACTTTTTATTATTTTCGTATTACGTTGTGACGCAAAACTTGCAGTTACATTTTACCAGGAAGTGCAACTAATTCCGAATTTTGTAATATAACGTTTGTGACCATGATATTAAAAAGAGGTTCCATACTTATGTATTAAGCAGAGATTTTTGCTCATTATGATAATACGTACATTGAAATTTTTCTTGTTAATTATTTGTAGTTAATAAAAACTGACTTTTATAAGAATCTGTCATTAATCACAATTTTTTCCTCTCATTAACTTATTAAGTTATATGAAACATTTATTTTATGTAATTTATGTATTAAAATTTATATAATTCTTATTTATTATAATTTATATATATAAATAAAAAGCTAACTCCGCACACATATTGAATTTTTCGGTGAGCAATTCAAAGCAAATATGTATTTTTCATTGTATTATTTTAAGAATAATGATTGATGATTATCAACAATCGTTCAACAAAACGATGTATAGGACACATTTTACAGATAACATCTCTCTCTCTAAAGAGTATAGCTATAGTTTCATGATATTAATACTGATATAAGCATAATTGACGAATCTATTCATCAACTTAGAAGTGATTTATTCGCCATCCCCAGCAAATCACTCTATCGATGTACTATCTTCCGATTGAGTTTATATAGTTACATACAACTACACAAGGGCACTTGCCTCAGTATAAACATGAAATTGTTGCTAATTCTTATTACAACATTAATATATATTAATGGTACGCCAGTATTAACAATAAGGGACTTCATGAGTTATTTTTTAAGAAATTTTTTAGATTTATTTTCTTCTTGTATAACAAATAAAAAATATGGAGACATTTTTGTAGAGAGATTAACGTTTTAATAAAAGGTAACTAATTACTACATGTATTTTTTTAATATTATCTTGAAACAGACATCTAGCACTTCATTCAATATTTCTCAATGCTCGATTATATGCTTATTACACTTTAAATGAAAGAGAAATACATATTATATAAACATTGTCGTAAGGTACAAATTTACTTACTTTTTTATTCCATAAAAAACACGTTATTATAAAAGAACTTGCAATCAAAGCATACTTGGTTTTACAACAATATGTTGCAATATGTACGATAATCGTATAAGCGCGTTTAGTTGCATCACATTACAATCTCTTGATTTTGGATTTTATGCAAAATCTGTTGAGTTTTACACTTTTTTAAGCATTAATTACAATTTGAATTCCAAACCCAAGGATTGCGCGATAAATGATAAAATGTCGGTACTCTCTTCAATCTAAAAAAAATTATATATAATCAAATTTCATTATGCCTGATATTTTCTAAATAAAATCATTTGTATATATTAACTTAAATATGAATCGTTTACAGAAATATTTACCATTTTCATGGTTGGTTTTCCACTACCATGACCTGCCTTGGTATCTATTTTTGCAAATAAAGGATTTTTCTGTTTTGATACATTTCCAAGTGTATATTGAAGAGTGGCTGTTAATTTAAGAGTATGCAAAGGTACAACACGGTCATCGTGATCAGCAGTCAAAAGCAACATCGCTGGATATTGTACATCATCTGGTGGTATCCTTACATTATGTAAAGGTGAATATTGCAACAAGTTCTCGAAATGCTTGGGATCATCGGGATTACCATAATCCGAGACCCAAGCAGAACCGATAGTGAACTTATGAAAACGTAACATATCCATAACTCTGCAATTTAAGAAAATTAATATTTTTATACACACGTCATACACTGGTAACTTAAAAATAAATTAAGTCAAAAGATTTAACTAACCCCACTTGAGCTATAGCAGCACCGAATAGATCAGGACTTTGATTTACACATACACCAACAGCCAGACCACCGTTACTGCCACCTTGAATCGTCAATTTCGCAGAGGTAGTGTATCCATTTTCTACAAGATATTTTGCTGCATATTGAAAATCATCAAATGCATTTTGCCTGTTAAAGAAACGTCCCGCATTGTGCCATCTTTCTCCGTATTCGCTATAACAAAGAATGATATTTTTTATCTAAACACAGATACAGATATTTATATATATGTATAGTTTTCCCAGTATTACGAGTGTGCCTTACATACCCTCCTCCACGAACATTAGCAACTGCAAGTACTCCATTGAAATGTTGTATAAAGACAAGTCTCGTAACACTGAATGTAGGTTGAATACTTGCATTAAAACCACCATACCCATAAAGTAATCCTGGCATAGTTCCATCTAATATAGCATCCTATGTTAAAAATTTTATATTTTTTAAATTTTAATATCGATGAGAAACAAAAAAAATTGTTATAATCTGAAACTATTCTTATAAATCGCTGTACATTAAAAATCTAATCAGTTCATAATTAAACACGTTTTAGTATTGATTCTTTAATAATTTACGTACATTTCTTGTTACTATAAACATGGGTACTTTTGTACTGTCCCTGCTTTTATAAAATATTTGACTAGTTTTGTATAAACTCGCATCAAAATCCTTCACTTTGATTTCTTGCAAGATCTGAAAATAATACCAATTATCTAATGAAGCTATAACTACATTTAATAAAAAATTTTGCCATATTGCATGTCAAATCATACTTAAAGCATTTAAAAAGATTGATACTAACACGTGGCTCCTCTTCTTTTTTTAAATCAATTGTGTATATAATGCCCGGGGTTAGGAATGATGTAAACTGATAAAATATCTCAGAATATTTCTTCTCTCCCGAGAATCCAACAACAGTGCCAAGATCAAGAGGAAACGTTCTAAGAACTTTACCAGTGTTCAAGCAATGCAGTTGCAAAATGTTCTATAAAAAATTAATTGTTAGTATTTCTTTATTACAGCAATCAATCTAAATACTTTAGATATATATTTACCTTAACATCTTGTATATAACAGGCAACAAATTTGTCTCCATCCACAGCTTCAGCCCAATCTAGTACATTCTCGGGATGTTCTGGCAAAAGATCAACCCATTTATGTTGTTCGTAATCCAATAAATCTATAGCTACTAACTTGTAATTAGGTGCATTTTTATTTGTGCGGAACACAGCTTTACTATCAATATTGGTCACGTACTGAAAATATACGAGATATAGTAATAACGCAGAAGTGTAAGATACTTAAGAAAGAATAAAATATTCATTACTAACTTCATAATCAGCTTCAAATTTATCAACAACTTGTGTCAATGGCAAGTTGTTCTTTATTTCCTTTCCTTTTTCTATTGGTGTAAAATATACTAAATTATCCCTACAATCCTTCCGAGGAGTAACAATGAGCCAATTGCCACAATCAGATACTTGTGCACCTCTGATAAAATAATAATAGTTTTATTAAATTAAATGTATTTAATAAATCAAAGATTTATCAAAAACACACACACACACACATATATAATAGATAAATTCTTTCTTATCTTTATACATTATGTATGAATATATGTATATAGGCTAATATGTTGGCACAAATCTGGATATATTTGAAGACATAACTAGAAGTATTTTTATTATTGATTTGATTAATATAATTTGAAAATTTATTCATAAAATGTGTTCTTTAATTTAAATGTCTAAACAAAAAAATGTGTATTAACGCAATATTTTATAGTAGTACAGAGAAATTAAAAAACTTACATCCTCCACAAAGGTTCTTCAGGAAACTCAACTGCGACAACATCATCTGATTGTGATGTATCAACAACGTGGTAGCATAATTTTTGATTTTCATTACCTAACGTTTCTGAACCGTCAGTTTTTCCTTGCTGATCTCGATATTGTCCATAAAAAATACCACAGTTGTCATGAGTCCATGTAATCGATGAAAACTTGACTTTTTCCAAAATTTCTGAGTACTTTTCACCTTCGTGAATATTACATACATTTTATAATTTTTAATAAATAAATGTACATATTGTATTAGAGCAGAATTGTAAGCTTAAGAATTTTAACATTATCTTACCAGTATGTGCATTCAGGAAATGAATAGTCCTCCAATCAGAACCACTTTTAGATAATCCATATGCGAAAATGCTACCATCCTCAGTAAAACTACTACTGGTAATTGCAACAGTTCCATCCTCAGAAAAAGTATTAGGATCAAGAAATACTTTTGGTTCACTTTCAAGAGTATCTTGTACATATAAGACACTGGAAAAAATAATAAAAATTCATTGATTTGAGACTTACTAATAGGTATATACAGATATTATATATATTAGCAATTAAAAATTTCAATTATACCTTTGGTTTTGCAAACCAGAATTTTTATAAAAGTAATATTTTTCACCATGTTTGGCAGGACACGAGTACTTTGGAAAATCCCATAATTGCTTCAAACGATCATGAATATTGTCACGAGCTTTACACGCACTTAGATACGGTTTAGTAATGGCGTTTTGAGCATCAACAAAAGCTTTTGTTTCTGGTGAATCTGGATCTTCCAGCCATCTATAAGGATCACTTATCTACAAACAAAATACTGACTCTTATGATATTTATATTACTTTTTATATAATATTCAAATATACATCTTTACTCTAATAAAATCTTCTATAATATCGCTATTATATTTATTGTTATTATTATATGTATAAAATGTATCTTATTTTAAATATATTTAAAAATCATCTCTTCTTAAGTAACTATACTAGTAAAAGCATAACTAAAACTTAACTCTTCATTTACAATCCGAGTCTTTTTTTGGCACAACAAAATTTGACTCTCAAATTTCACTCTCATTTTTACTCAAATTTTTACTCAATTTTTATTAAATACATTTATTAAAAACATTTAAGTTAAAAACTATTTGATAATATAATAGAGAATTGAAAAAAGTAATTGAATTTTTCCACAATTTTTGCAGAGAGTACAAAAATATATCTGTAGACGAAGGATTAAAATATTAAATTTCAATTTATGCTCATTATACAAGATATTTCAGGATTTAACAGACAAATGGCAGGAGTATATTCTACAAGTGAAAATAAGAAAAAAATGTTTTATTTGTATAAGTTATATACAAATATTAAAACAGATCAAGGATTTTCCATTACGCAGAATATGGAAAATGTATTTATCTTGTATACATGTTCACATCATATTTACTATACATGAATATGATATTTGTTT